TTGTGTGTGTGTGCACATGTGTACATAGCAGCTCCTTTCATAGAAAGAAAAGACATCTAGAGGTCGTCTTGTACTTTTACGTACAGGAATCATGAATGTTTAATCTTTCTTTAACTTCTAATTTGGTCACAGCTGTTTTATATATTATACCATTCTTATCCCTTCATAATTGCCCTTTAACTGCCACCTTAAATACTCCAGTCACCTCAATAAAAACATTTCGTCCACAAATCCACCAAAACCAGAAAAGGGTACTAAGACATTTTAAAAGGCATATACTTCCTGACACCTTTCTTTTTGCCGTTCTGGATATCAATCATTTCTTAATACTTTTAAATTAACTGGAAATGAAGCACCAGCTCTCACTTGGCTGTAAGTTTCACGTATTTAAAACGTTTCATTTTTAAGTCTACAAAATAAATTTAGACCAGGAATTTTTACCAATGTTTCAGACATACACAAGAAGTTGTGTTTGAACCCCTACCGACATACTCGAATATATATCTTATTTATGTACATATATTTGAGAATACATATATAGTGTATGCATATATGTATATGCACACGTACATATACACATACACACACACGTATATATCTTTTTTATTTTAAAAAGCGGTAGTATCTACTCACAACCAGTGTCTTTGAGGCGGTTGATGGCATTGGAAAGAAGACGAACACAACCGAGAAATCCAGCACCTTGTTTCTTATGGATCTTCTTGTGATTCCATACACTGATCGTAACTGAATCAGACTTTCCAATATACCTAAAAAACAAAACAGCTGCATGAGTAACTTGGTAGTTACAGGCAGTTGGTGTAAAATTTTTCTTTTCTTCTTTTTATACCCTAAAGTTACAAATATGCTTCAGAAGCTGGCTATATTATGCAAAATATGTCTTGAGTTAATCCACAGGATTGAATTTAAATTTTTAAAAATCTTGGAAGTAAAATTTTTAAAAACAATTTTATACTATATTTTTATCACATCTGCCAATCTCAAGCTGGGCTATAGTTCTGGTTAGTAAAAAGGCTATTTTAGTAGCTAGTGTCTAATAACACTAAGGGAGTTTATTAAATAACTTCTTTTCAAGACCGGCCTGAGCAACACAGTGAAACCCTGTCTCTACTAAAAATACAAAAAACTAGCCAGGCATGGTGGCGGGCACCTGTAATCCCAGCTACACAGGAGGCTAAGGCAGAGAACTGCTTGAACACGGGCGGTGGAGGTTGCAGTGAGCCGAGAATGCACCACTGCTCCAGCCTGGGCGACAGAGTGAGACTCCGTCTCCAAAAAAAAAAAAAAAAAAAAAACACTGCCTTTCGTTATAATGGAAGTTAATTTCAGAACTTCATTAAAACGTTCACACCAATAATCAAAGAACAGCAGCAATACAAAGTAAGGTACAGCCAATCAATCCTAGGAAGCAAACACAAGCAAGAGAAATGGCAGGTAAAGGAACTGAAGAATAGCAAATTCAAAAATTACAATATTCCCAATTCTAAAGAAAAATAAATGAGGCTGGTAATGAAAAAAAATGAAAAAATAACACGTCTTACCTTAAGAGGCATCCAAATAGCATTCATAGTGTCAGGATATAAAGACAATACTCAGAAATGAGCAAGAAGTCTTAGTAATTCCCTCAATCACCAAGTATAAGCAGGTAGGAAAATCTTTTGTTTCAAGAAGGTATCTGAAAGAGAGGACTTGCATTTAGACTAAAAAATAATCGAGAAAATGCAAATAGTTTAAACTACCTGGGCAGGGATCTTGAAGTACTACTTGTCTCACCACATTTTACGACGTATAGAAAAGACAGTCCCCTTTAGAAAAGGGCAAATGTGTGTGTGTCTCCATAAATATGTGCAGAAACACACTTTACATAAAAAGAGAAATAAATATGTAACATATTTTAGATAATGTAAAATTGCTTATCAAATAATTAGCCAAAATCCCAGAAAGAATAATTTTCCAGGGTACTTCATAAACATTTAACGTGATTTGTTAATGATCTAAAAGAAGACCCTTGCCACATTTAATCGTATTTAGCAAAGTAAAACCTCTCTAATCATCCCGTCTCAAGATTATGCTTAAGTTTCAGAGTCAATTTCACATGAAAAGTAAAACCTACTCTTGACTGAAGTACTAGAAACAAATAAAAGATCCTTCTTCTCCAGAGATCGTTAAAAGCAGACCGAGCAACTTAATTCTGAGGGTGGGAGGAAGGTAAATTTGCCTGGAGGCTGGAGGATGGACTAAATGCCCTTTGGTAGGATCCTCGTTTAAGCCCCGGGCCTAAATACAATTCCAGCTTAACCAGTTACTGCTTCGCTTAAAATGGAGGCTTGCCCGAGTAGGGACAAAAATAACAGTACCCACCTCATTAAAAATTAAATGTCGAAAAGTACCCTTATTTAAATAAAAATAAAAAATAAACACCTCTGGAGTGGACGTGTGCTTGCTATACGTTTTTCACTGAGGCTTCGAAGACTTGGCATCACTTTCCTTACCGCTCACCGGATTTTGGGGTAGGGGCGGGCTGGGGGGGCAGCAGTTTGACTTTTGACCCAAGTCTGAGGCAGGCTTCAGAGCCCCACCGGGGCCCCCAACTCCAGAGCCAGCGGGAGCAGAGAGGCGAGAGCCTGAGGTGGCACCTCCCCGCACCAGGGACCCCAGTCCCAAACCTACCCCTCATCCCTCCGCAGTGGGGCGCCTCCTTCTGCCCCATTCCCATTGTTAGGGAGAGGAGAGCGCGGGGCGGGCTTAGGGCAGGGGCCCCCCGCGGCCGTTGCCCGGCTCACTTCAGAAGGGAAAGCACGCGGGATGCGACTTCCCCTCCTCTCCGCGTCAGTCAGTCCCACTTCGGCTCGGCCTGGCGCCCCGAGCTCCGCTCCGCGCCCCCAGCTGCGGCCCTGGCCCCGGCCCGCCCCCCGGGCAGCCAGGCCCCCGGCAACTCGGCCGGCAGCCTGCGGCCCAGGCCTACAAGTGGGCGCCGGGCGAGGGTCCCCGTGCCCCACGCTAGCGTCCCCTCTTCCCCAGCCCCGCCGCTTCCAGGGCCCTGGGCGGTGCCCGCTCCCTGGGACCCTAGGCCCCCAGCCTCCCAGCCGGGCGGCTCCCTCAGGCTCCCCAGGTCGGGGGCCACCTCCTCTGCCTCACCATCACTCCTGCCCATTCGTGCCCCCACCCCATGGGCACTAGAGCCGAAGGCGGCTCCCCAAGCCCCGGACCTTCCAGCATGGCTTAACCAAGCCTAGACGTGGGGGCGGGAAATCTTCCACCCTCCTCTGGCGCTCATTGGCCCTTCCAGGGCACATTGTGAGCGCCATTGGCTGAGGGATGGTGTCCGTCAGAGCGTTGGGGCGGGACAGAATGGGGAGAGGAATGCAGATGCCACGGCGTCTGTCTCGTGTTTATCGCTGTCTGTATCTGTCTCGGCCCTTGGATGGGAGGGCCCGCCTCGGCCTCCCAAAGTGCTGGGATTACAGGCGTGAGCCACCACGCTAGGCCAGAAAACCTTCATCAATTAATAATCTTTTCTCTGGCCGGTCTCGGTGGCTCACACCTGTAATCCCAACACTTTGGGAGTCCGAGGCGGGCGGATCACCTGAGGTTGGGAGTTCAAGACCAACCTAACCAACATGGAAAAACCCCGTCTCTACTAAAAATCCAAAAAAATTAGCTGGGCGTGGTGGCCCATGCTTGTAATCCCTGCAACTCAGGAGGCTGAGGCAGGAGAATCACTTGAACCCGGGAGGCAGAGTTTGTAGTGAGCAGAGATAGCCATTGTACTCCAGCCTGGGCAACAAGAGTGAAACTTTGTCTCAAAAAAAAAAAAAAAAAAGAATATTTTCTCGGAGTTTATTAATTCTATTTAAATCAACCGCAGAAAACACCTTCAACACAGCTTCTCATTTCATATCTGTAAAATGGGGCAAAAACATAGTTCCCACCCCTTAGAGTTGTTGTGAAGATTAAATTAGTGAATACATATGATGGATTGCAGTGAGCCGAGATCGCGTCACTGCACTTCAGCCTGGCCAACAGAGCGAGACTCCGTTGCTAAATAAATAAATAAATAGCACAGAAATACTATGACATGATGAGATGCAGAGTAATTTTTTTTTTTTTTTTTTTTTTTTTTTTTTGAGACGGAGTCTTGCTCTGTCACCCAGGTTGGAGTGCAGTGTAGTGGCACCATCTCGGCTCACTGCAAGCTCCACCTCCCGGGTTCACGCCATTCTCCTGCCTCAGCCTCCCAAGTAGCTAGGACTACAAGCCACCACTGCCGGCTAATTTTTTTTGTATTTTTAGTAGACACGGGGTTTCACCTTGTTAGCCAGGATGGCCTGGATCTCCTGACCTCGTGAATCACCCGCCTCGGCCTCCCAAAGTGCTGGGATTACAGGCATGAGCCACAGCGCCTGAACGAGATGCAGAATAATTTTATTATTCATTAAAATGTAGAATTCTTGGTAATTTGCCCGGTATCACAGAATGTAGAGATGAAGGCAATGTGTATCTTGTCACATCACCCTTTTCGTTAGTATGATCAACTGATGCAACAGGATTAGCCCCCCTGAAGATTTTTCTCTGATATGATGACAATTGACTGGGATGATAAAACGAGGAGCCACTGCTGTCCTGGAGAAATCCAGGCACAATTAGATTATTCTGCCTTCATAACTTTGCAGCCGTCCCTCCCCACAGAGGCTTACAGATAATAATTAGCGCACATTCAAAGACACTTCTGTCTGTGGGAGAAAAATTATCTCTATTTATTTTGCTTCATATACATCCATAGTTGAATTTTAATACCAAAGAAAAAATTATAATCTGACAAATGTTTACAAACAAGATACCTTCAAACAGATTTTACTCATTTTAACCTGGTGCATTGTAATTGACAAATTGTACTGTTATATTCAAGGCAACAGAGTCTGCAGTCCAGGACCACTTAGCCCAATCTTTATGTAAGCTTAATTTTTATCTACCAGGAACAATAAACTCATTGTTGATTCCCAGTTGTGTGTGTGTGCACATGTGTACATAGCAGCTCCTTTCATAGAAAGAAAAGACATCTAGAGGTCGTCTTGTACTTTTACGTACAGGAATCATGATAAGATACAGAAGGATTATACGTAACCAGGCTGGATTTTATAAGAGAAAATAATTAGCTGACAAATGAAGGCAGCAATAAAAACGTGTCTTTTTTGCGACAATAAATATACACAGTCAAAAGCTGTCTTTGAGACTCTAAACCAGCTTCTTCACGGAAGAGCAGATGTAGCATTTCCATGGAGTTGCACTTGACCCCATAGTATCTTTTTTTCTTGCTTTCTTTTTCTTTTTTTTAATAAGCAGAGTTTTCTAGCTTCTGCCACAATAGTAAAACCATTTGATCCTGACAAGATAATGCTGCCGTTGACTTTGCTTTTTTCTTGTCCATTGGACAAAATTGGCCAACAATATAATTGGATTATTATGACCAATAAAAACAAAGTTTAGGTCAAATCTCGACTAAAAACATCTGGCTCCTTAATTTAAAATAGTTCAGACAACCAGATTCTTGCTGCATTTTATGTTAAACTTTAAGAAGCTGTAGACTGCAGTTTGTTGTTGTGAGACCTACAGAATATAGAAAAAAGGGAACAATTAAGCACCCTTCATTTTTGAAAACAATGATGCTTTATGCGGATGCCAAGGTCAGTCAGTCTGGGAGAAGCAGCCTTGTTCTTTCATTCACGTGAACCTTGGCAAGTGAATAAAAAAGAATGATGAATAAATTTTTAATCTATAATATTAAAACTTTTCACTGTACACTAAACATAATAGCTCACTGGAAAAAACCAATATGAAAAAATATATATATTTTTGTCTAATAAAGATTACAACATTTTCAGCCAACTGGACAAATAAAGACACTTAGAGAAGATTACCATTGTAGTGAAAGGTGTGTGTGTGTGTATGTGTGTGTTTATTTACACTGATGAGGGGAATATAAAGGGAAAAATAATGCTAAAACAAAAGAAAAAGCAATCTTAAATCACATTTTTCTATTAAAGTCCAGGAAGTCTCCCCTCTAGTTTCACAGTTGTATTCAAAATTTTCGTTGATAAACCAAATTACTGTACAGTCACCAGGACTAAGTCAAAGGACTTTATATTGCAATAGCAGATAAATACAATATTCCAAGAGTTTACAATTTTTAAATGCATTGTTAAACATGGCTGCTAGAATAAATTTTTTACCACGATAAATCTTTTTTCTTTCTTTTTTTTTTTGAGACGGAGTCTCGCTCTGTTGCCCAGGCTGGAGTGCAGTGGCACCATCTTGGCTCACTGCAAGCTCCACCTCCCGGGTTCACGCCATTCTCCTGCCTCAGCCACCAGAGTAGCTGGGACTACAGGCGCCCGCCACCACGCCTGGCTAATTTTTTTGTATTTTTAGTGGAGACGGGATTTCACCATGTTAGCCAGGATGGTCTCGATCTCCTGACCTTGTGATCCTCCTGCTTTGGCCTTCCAAAGCACTGGGATTACAAGCTGAAGGAGGGTGCCACACTTGAGGGGCAAGGGAAGATCAGGTGGGGGACCCTGTGCTTCAGAGATTTGGTCACATCCGTGAGAAGCACAGCAGGCCCTGCCAGATAAACAGACAAAATCAGGAGGGCTCCAAGGTGGGACAGAGAAGGAAGATTGTTAAAAATTGAATCTGCTAGGCCGGGCACGGTGGCTCACACCTGTAATCCCAGCACTTTGGGAGGCTGGCACAGGCATATCACTTGAACCCAGGAGTTCGAGAGCAGCCTGACCAACATGGCGAAACCCCGTCTGTACTAAAAATACAAAAAATTAGCCAGACATGGTGGTGCGAGCCTATAGTCCCAGCTACTTGGGAGGCTGAGGCAGAGAATTGCTTGGATCCAGGAGGTGGAGGTTGCAGTGAGCCGAGATCTCACCACTGTAGGTCCATCCTGGACAACAGAGCAAGACTCTGTATAAAATAAAAAAGAAAGAAAGAAAGAAAAAAATTGAATCTGCTGTGCCCAACCAAGCCATCAGCTGTGGGGTCCTGCCCTGAATCATTTACTCCTCACCATATCCCTGGGACCCTCAGGGCAGGCAGGCAGCAGCAGATGTTTTCCAAGCCCTGCTGCTCCCAGGCCAACGTGACATCTGCAGTGACAATTTTAACAGACTGGACACGCTTGTGTCCCCCTAGCACTTATCCTTGGCTCACTTGCCACTTGTGCCTTACCCAGTGGGGAGGAAGTGGCAAGGCCTTGGCTCTGGGTTCCACAGGTAGAGTTTTTCAGGGGAAAACAGTTAACTCATTCTTTACAAAACCTACCCAGGCCTGCTTTCAGCCACCCCTTCTGCTGAGATTGTATGTAATATATAGTATTATATATAATTTTTTTAAAAGAGACAGAGTCTTCCTCTGTCACCCAGGCTGGAGTATAGTGGCATGATCATAGCTCACTGCAGCTGCAAACTCCTGGGCTCAAGTGATCTTCCTGCCTCAGCTCCTCGAGCAGGAGGGACTAGAGGCATGCACCACCAGGCCTGGCTTTTTTTTTTTTTTTTTTGTAGAGATAGGGAAGGTCTCACCATCTTGCTCAGACTGTTCTGGAACTCCTGGGCTCAAGTCAACCTCCTGCCTTGGCCTCCCAAAATGCTGGTATTACAGACATGAGCTACCGCACCTGGCCAAGAGACTATATATTTTGAGCAGCTGCTGGGAGGTGGGGACTAAGTTCTGGTCTAAGGAGAACTTCCTGGGAGTCCAGGAAAGAAATATCTGTCACTGTTGGTGCACAGTGAGTATGGTCCTCACTGGTCACCCAGAGGACAGGGTGTGGCTCTCTCCACAGTGTAGTTCCCTAGCCCCAGAAAGCTGGACCTGGGCTCTCCCGTCACCAGAGATCCCTCTCCTTCCTACCCAACAAGGTGTTTGGCTGGCTGCAGCAACTGTGCAGACCCTGACTAGTGAACATTTCTAAGTACCAGGGTCTTGCCTTGTGTCCCGCCAGGGTCCTCCAGAAGGCTGTTGTGGGTAGGTGGGATCAGAAATTCAGGAACCTGAAACAGCCAGAAGGTGGAACCCGGCCGGCTTCAGGGGACTGCCTGTGGAATGGACCGGCCCTGAATGAGTGGAACAGTGGATGGGCCTTGAAGGCAAGCTCAGGAGATGGGGCGTTGTGCACAGACAAGTCGCTAACCAGGACCCCACGCCTCATTCAAACCAGATCAGGGGACCCCGCCTGTCCACGTCCCCGCGCCAAGTGCGCTCCCCCTCCCAGGGCCGTAATTGCCGCCGCCATCCCCACGCGTCGCCAGGTCCAGTCTTTGTCCGTTCAGTTCCGAGGCCGCGCTTGGACTGGGGCGCCCACGACTGATCCTGGAGGCTCAGCAAACGGCGCAGCTGCAGGGACGCCCTGTCCTGCAGGCAACTGGGCTCTCGCGAGGCAGCAGGTGCCGAGGACTAGCCGCAGATCTGGTGTGCAGAACCTTGGATTAGAGTCCCCGCTTAGAGCCCCTCCACTGTGTGACGTGGAGGCCTCGGCCGCCCTCTGAGAGCCTTCGTGGATGACAGCTGATGCTTGGGCCTACCTTCCTCGGCTGCTGAGAGGCTCAGAAGGGGCCGCGTGTAAAATGCCTTGGATTCTTAATTCTACTTAATTCCATTTACCTCCTTCCTAGTAACGGTCTATGGCTTCCGTCCCCGTCATAGCGCTGCGCAGCGGGACCGCTCTGCCCTGTTGCCCTCGAACAGCCCGTCCGCACTCCATTGCCTCTCGAGGTGCCGTTATTTTGCCTTTTAACCTGGGGCTGGAGGTTGCAGATGAGGTTGCAAGTCTGGGCCGGCGGGGGCCTGAGGGTCGGTTGCAACCAACACCCGAGACGGTGTCTACACTGGAATTCCAAGCCAACCGAAAGAGGGCTCCAGGGGCGCGACCAAGGTTCGGTCTTCTGCCTCCGGTTGCGCGCTGCTGGATGGATCGCCAGCCTTCCCCCGCGGCTCCCTCCTCCACATCCCTGACCCTAAGCTCGGCAAGATCCCCCAAGCGCAGGCCCAGGCTCCGCACAGCTCATGGGCCATGAGGTCCAGGTCCTGAAGCTCGGCCCCGCTGGGACTGTCCCTCCGCCTCTATTTCCAGGGTAAAAACAGCAGAACCAGGCCGGGGTCTGGTGAGCCAGGCAGGGACCTCTGCTGCAGGCTTCCTGCGGCTACTTCCAGGGTGCTGTCCACCCCGTGGTGCTGAAGCGCCCCACTCCCCTCCGCCATCTACCGGAAGCCACGTCCGCGCTGCAGCCTCCACTCAGGATTCGACCCGAACTCCAGGACGTGTCCACACTGGTCCAACAGCCCTCATGGATCGTCGCCTGCCTCAACTGTTCAGACCACCGCGGGTTTCACCCGGAAGCACCGGGGAGGTCGGAGCTTGACTGAGAAGGCTTGGCGAAGGTCCATGCTTTGTCCAGTCCCAGGCAGCGCGGGAGAGGTGGGCGAAGCTCTAACCCCATGTTCTGCCCTGGCACTGGCAGGAATTCACATATTATGGAGATAGTCCTCGCTCACTCCAGACCTGTCCTATAATTGTATGGGCCCCGGGAAGGTTTCCCTCGGCTTTTAGAATCTCAACCCCGGCGTGGCCATCCGAGCTGTGCCAACACCGCTACCTGCGAAGCAGGAGAGAAAAACCCCTGGAATTCCTCTTGCACATCTTTCACAAAGTGAACATGCCCTTCTTTGACACTGGGTACAGCAACTTCGAGACCAGATTTTTGATCCTCAGCATGTAAAATCACAAGCTTGGGCGGGCGCAGTGGCTCACGCCTGTAATCCCAGCACTTTGGAAGGCCGGGGCGGCGGCTCGCTTAAGGCGAGGAGCTCAAGACCAGCCTGGGCAACATAGTGAAACTCGGTCTCAAAAAACAAAAAACAAAAAACAAAACAAAACAAAACAAAAAAACACCATAAAAATTAGCTGGGAGTGATGGTGCTGCACCTATAGTCCCAGCTACTTGGGAGGCTGAGGTGGGAGGACCACCTGAGCCCAGGAGGTTTCAGTGAGCTATGATCACACCACTGCACTCCAGTCTGGGCAAGAACATGTCAAAAAAAGAAGGAAAGAAAGAGCAGGGCAAGAACATGTCAAAAAAAATAAAGAAAGAGGAAACAGAAATAAAGAAGAAAGAGAGAAAGAAAGAAAAAGAAAGAAAGAAAGAAAGAAAGAGAAAGAAATAAAGAAAAAGAGAAGGAAGAAAGAAAAGACAAGAAAAGAAATGTCTTTCGTTTTTGGAAAGCTTGAATGGGAGATAGGCTCATGAACTTAAAATACCTTTTTCAGTTACAGTGTAACTGGAATACGTCAGATTTTTGTATTACACCCCGAGCCTATAATGAGTCTAAGCATCACTGGGGCATGGTTAGATGCCATCTACAAGGAAGAAAAAATAATCTTACTTTAGATATTTCAAAATTAAAAGAACAAAATTTTGAGGCATCAAAAGCTCATTTAAATCTCGTGCCAAAAACTGAGACAATCATAAAAGCTGCTGATGGCCTCACAAATCTTAACCCCGTCACTTAGGTTAAAATCATTGAAAGTTCCACTATTGTAAATTTCATATTAATCCTTGCATGTCTGTTCTGTCTGTTGTTAGTCTACAGGTGTATCCAGCAGCTCTGAAGAGACAGCAATCAACAAGAACGGGCCATAATGATGATGGTGGTTTTGTAAAAAAAAAAAAAAAAAAAAAAAAAGGGGGGAGATATGTAGGGAAAAGAAAGAGATCAGACTATTATTGTGTCTATATAGAAAAGGAAGACATAAGGAACTCCATTTTGACCTGTACCCTGAACAATTGCTTTGTCCTGAGATGCTGTTAATCTGTAACTTTGCCCAACCTTGAGCTCACAAAAACATGTGTTGTATGGAATCAAGGTTTAAGGGATCTAGGGCTGTGCAGGATGTGCCTTGTTAACAAAATGTTTACAGGCAGTATGCTCGGTAAAAGTCATCGCCATTCTCCATTCTTGATAAACCAGGGGCACAATGCACTGCGGAAAGCTGCAGGGACCTCTGCCCCGGAAAGCCAGGTATTGTCCAAGGTTTCTCCCCATGTGAGAGTCTGAAATACGGCCTCATGGGATGGGAAAGACCTGACCATCCCCCAGCCCAACACCTGTGAAGGGTCTGTACTGAGGAGGATTAGTAAAAGAAGAAGGCCTCTTGCAGTTGAGATAAGAGGAAGGCCTCTGTCTCCTGCCTGCCCCTGGGAACGGAATGTCTTGGTGTAAAACGCGATTGTACATTTGTTCAATTCTGAGATAGGAGAAAAACCGCCCTGTTGTGGGAGGCGAGACATGTTGGCAGTAATGCTGCTTTGTTATTCTTTACTCCACTGAGATGTTTGGGTGGGGAGAAGCATAAATCTGGCCTACGTGCGTATCCAGGCATAGTGCCTTTCCTTGAACTTATTTGTGACAGATTCCTTTGCTCACGTTTTCTTGCTGACCTTCTCCCCACTATCACCCTGCTCTCCTACCACATTTCTCTTGCTGAGATAGTGAAAATAGTAATCAATAAATACTGAGGGAACTCAGAGACTGGTGCCAGTGCAGGTCCTCCATATGCTAAGCGCAGGTCTCCTGGGCCCACTGTTCTTTCCCTATACTTTGTCTCTGTGTCTTATTTCTTTTCTCAGTCTCTTGTCCCACCTGACAAGATATACCCACAGGTGTGGAGGGGCAGGCCACCCCTTCATTGTACTGGGCTGCTATAAAAAACGTGTATGTGACTGAGGGTCAGAGTCAAAAAGAAGTATGAAAGACACTGCTTTTAAGCAACTGCTGCGATGTTAAGAACATCATTTATTCTTGCATATCTACCCTGCAAATAATTCTCAAATTTGGGAGACACATTTGGGGCCATATCCTGTCACCATGGCTAGCTGAAAGGCAGAGATACCGAGTCCTAGCTCTGATCCCATTGTTCGTGATCAGAGCTGGGATGCCATGCTGTCCTATCCACAGTATTCTGCTATCAACGGGTAACCTTCATCCTTTAGCTGCAGGTTCACCTGAAGTGATCATAGCTAGAAGTGAGCAGTGAATCATCTACAGTTCTTTAATAAACCATAAAACCCAAAATAGCCTACTCATATGTGTAAAGAAGGGTTTAATTATTTAGAATTATATGTAGAATAAAACTGATCATGTAGTAAGAAAGTGTATCAGCCACTTATAGCATTGTTATGCCTTGACTGAAATTTGGGTTCACAACTATACTCACAAAGTCTAATGCTTTTAATCTTATTATCTACTACAGTTTTGGGAATAGAGAAAATACAATTCAAAAATAGGTCTACAATTTCTACAAATGCCCAGTACCTATTTTTAAGGTGTGGTAATTAAAATTATCTCACATTCCACAGATTTTTGTTTTAAACAGAAAGAACACACCTCTTTGTCCTCCTTAAATAATTTACTTCCTTCATGGGCAGCGGCTGCCACCTGCTGGCTCTTCAGTTGACTAAGTTTGCTATCTGGATTCCATAATCTGGTGATGATTCGAGTTGAGCCAGATGCTCCTTTTCCAGCTCCAGGAGATTCACTTAGCTCCCGCCTGGACTTCTCCGATTTGAAATCACCTACTGTCAAATGAAAAGGCCACAAAGCAATTGCTGACATAAGTAAATAATTATAACCACTTTATTTCACCAAAACTCATATCTGGTGTATATGTAAGATCCACAAAGTAAACATATTAAAAAAAAAAGCCCTTGAATGGCAAAGCGAGTATCATTAATCCTTAATCCTTTTACTTAAAAGAAAATATGTCATAACTTTACTGTGAGTCATCTATTATTCCACAAAAAAATTCAAACATGCTACGTTATCTATTTCAAAGCTCATCTATTTGAAAACAGGAAGGGCTGCTACAAACTTAACAAGTAACAAACATAATAATAACTCAAAAGCAAACTAAAAAAATGTTGCCTTATATATTCAATAGGGTTTTCTGTATAAAAAGGTGTAAGTTTTTGAAAGATTTCCACTGAAATTCTGTTTAAATACCAAATAGTTTTGAGCTTATAAACATAAACATCGTGAATTTTCCACTAGGGAATTTAGGTAATTATCTGTGTATGCTTACCAATATTAAAAATCAACTAAATTAGTTTTTTATAACCTAATAAAGACCTCTCAACATTTTCCTAGTAATTTAATTTTTTTAAGTGACAGGCTAAACTTCATAGGAGCAATTTCTGCTTTGTGTACTGATGAATCTCTCTTTGGCTGAATTTTTTTTTTCTTTTTTTGACACAGGTTCTCACTCTGTTGCCCAGGCTGGAGTGCAGTGGCACGATGTCAATTCACCTCAGCCTCAAACCCCTAAGCTCAGGTGATTCTCCCATCTCAACCTTCCAAGCAGCTGGAACCACAGGCATGCACCACCACACCCAGCTACTTTTTTCATATTTTCTGTAGAGATGGGGTTTTGTCATGTTGCCCAGGCTGGAAAAATTTGCATATGTTCTAAAACTACTGCATCACTGTTCAATTTCCATTGGCCAGACAGCTGAATAAGCTCTGATTTTTCCTTTTTAATTTAAAGCTTTAAAAAATTAAGACGCTGTGGCACTGGTAAATGAAAAGACAGAGACTTTACTATATTATATATAATAAAGATGGCATTTTAAGTAAATAGAGAAAAACTAGGATTGGGAAAAGTTATTCATTTTGGGGAAAATAAGACAATTTTGTAAACATTTGGTAAGTTTACCTTTTCCATACCCCTTCCTTCCTTTGGGGAGATACTTCCCTCACCGCCGCCCTCCCACACTTTAATCACATGATTCTGCCAGGGCTGCAAATCAAGTATGTTGCCCCTTTGGAGTGAGCAGCAGGACCCAGCATGGCCAGACAAAGCACACCACTAGCTCGCCACAGTGACTGCCCCAGGACTGGCTATTTGGCCCAATCCTCTCAGCATCCTTTTCCACTTTTTAAAATCTGGAGATGGAGAAAAGGTCTTTGCTTTTTGTACTAATGAGCAGGAAGGGTGTAAATCAGAAGTTGGCCACTTTTATTCCCACAACATGGAGAAAACTGTCAATAACAGGAAGCGATAAGCCCATCACTGAGAAGAAATAAAGAGAAAAATATGAAAGGGCAAAATTCAGAAGGAGCCTCAATAATCAAATTCACCTCCCTAGATCCAATAATGCACCTGAGGCTGTCACCAACACTGGACTTCTCAATAGTGTAAGTCAATAAAATTCCCCTTTTAAGTAAGTTTGATGGATTTCTATCAAAACCAGTAAATTCTAAATAATCCAGTAGAATATTTTAAGATTTTGACTCCAAAATATCGCACTACTACAGTTTTGGAAATAGAGAAAATACAATTCAAAAGTAGGTCTACAAATTTCTACAAATTTCCAGCCCCTACTTTTAAGGTATGGGAATTAAAATTATCACACATTCCACAGATTTTTGTTTTAACAGAAACAATACACCTCTTTGCCCTCCTTAAATAATAAGTCAAAATGGAGAGGGTGCTGAGCATCTTGCCACCCCAGGCTGGAAAGTAAGTCACTTTGGATGTGTGGTAGCAAAGCAGTTGGTCAGATTATCAATTTTCTCTTGGGTCTCAGGTCATGGAGTTTGTTGTTGTTGTTGTTTTGTTTGTTTGTTTTTGAGATGGAGTGTCGCTCTTGCAGCCCAGTCTGGAGTACAGTGGCGCAATCTCGGCTCACTATAACCTCTGCCTCCCAGTCCCGGGTTCAACTGATTCTCCTGCCTCAGCCTCCTGAGTAGCTGGGATTACAGGCACCCACCACCATGCCTTGCTAATTATTTTGTATTTTTAGTAAAGATGGGGTTTCCCCATGTTGGTCAGGTTGGTCTCGAACTCCTGACCTCAGGTGATCCACCTGCCTCAGCCTGCAAAAGTGCTGGGATTACAGGTGTGAGCCACCACACCTGGCCTTCAGATCGTGGAGTTTTATGCCAAGATGTTGAACTATGGTAGTTAGTTCTTGGGGCCATCTAGGAAGTCCTATAATAGACACTTTTTAGACATCATTTAGTCTAGGTCAGATTTCCTGAAAACAGAAAGAGAATGACACAGTGCTTTTAAAAAGTTTCCTAGTTCAGAGCCAACAATCCAATACTGCTCAGAGTCAATCCTTTGTCATTTGCTAAATTTAGTGCAAATAAGGGAAAGGAGGAGAAAATTCAACCACAGGGGTAAGACTTAAAGGAATGGAGAAAGAGAACTAGGCTGAAGGTAGAGGTCTTTACTGAACACCCTCTGCCCAAAGGCCATATTCCTCCTATTATAAAGCAGTGAATCCTTGTGACGCAGCCTGGCGGCAGGCTACAGATCTACATCAGCCTCTCCAGCTCATTATTTAATGATACCAGCAGGCAGAAGCCTACACAAACTCTTCACCTGAGGGCTAGGACCATTGGCCTACTAAACACATAAACTGAGGAAGTGGAGGGTGTTCACCTTCAGGGATCCTGAAGAACAAGTTATTGAGCATCGAGTACTAGCTGGGAACCTAGGAATCTACAAGTGAATGCTATTGTCAGAAAAAAAACCAAACGTGCCAAATAAGGACATATGATTATTTAATCCTACAGAAGTCCCCAGCAACCCAACCCCAATAACAGCCAGCAGGAACTAGGGAGCTAAAACAGAATGGCCTCCAGAAGGGGAGTCTTCTCACATGCTTCTCACCTCTCAAACACAGCCACTCTCCCAGAAAACCAATGGCATCCTGATTTATTAAAGAACACCCTCCACGATGTTTATGTGTGTCATACGCAGTTAAATTCATAATGTGGCTCATGGATTGTGAGATCAAGATAAGCTACCTCCAGATCTATCGGAATTAATGTACAATACACAGAAATACTAGATTTGGGTCTAGATACAATTACAGGATGTAATTGTGGGAAAGAGGTTTTTGAAAAAGTTTTAAGTTGTGGGTGAAATCTTTGCATTATATTGGGCAGAACCATTTTTTAATTGTATGTATGGGAACAAATGTGAGTATATACACATGCTGAGCTACCAAATGATGGAAGTGTAGATATTTACTATGCTATAATCTTTGCAGCATCCCGCTTTCCTTGGAAAACCATTCCTACCCAACTCCAGTCATACACTTTTGCTGGAGGCATCAATCACAGTACATTGCCTGCTCTGGCCATAGGGGTAGAAACATTATGATCCAAGATAAGCCACTCAAATTCCTTCCTCAAGGGCTTTTGATTTGGAGCACAAGTAGGGGCCTTGCCTTTGGGTCACAGACCTTGGAAAGATATAAATACAAATTGCTTGTGCCATCTTCCCTGCCACATGGGAATAGCCTGTCTATATTGGGAGAGAATGAGGTTAATACACACAAATATATGTAGACCTAAAAGGTGAGAGAGAAAGAGGGGAAAACAAAGAGTTTGATACCTGAGGGTCCAGTTATGCCTGATGATGGCTTGGACTTCCCAACTATATGAGCTAATTAAATTCCCTCTTCACTTAAGCTAGTTTAAGTTGGTTTGGTCACTTGCAACTGAAAAAGTCCTAATTAAAACAGATTTCCAACTCATATCAAATGAAAATTATAATTTAGATAGATTTAAAACAAAGTTATAGAAGTATGATGAATTACTGTAAAATATATGTATATTCTTGGGATGGGGATAGCCCTCCTTAGTAAAACATAAAATTCAGAGAAACTCTAAAGAAAAATACTGATACATTTAACTATATAAAAATGTAAAAATTTCTATATGACAACAAAGAGCTAAAAATAGGCAATTACTATACAAATATATATGTAAAATTGAAGATTAACAGCCATAATACATAAAGCATTCCTATTCCTAAAATTCATTAAGGACAGATAACAAAACTCATTAGGAAAAAGTGACAAAAAGACATGAATAAGCAATTCACAGGAAGTTCAACAAACACATGTAAGAAACTTAATCACATGAGTAAGGATACGCAAATTTTTATATGAACTACTTTTCACCATTGGAAAAAATGTTAAGAGGAATGATGTTGAATTTAAGTGAGAGAATAAGGAAACAGACGTGTATGTAAATTACTGGTATAAATCTCTTTTGATATACAATTAAGCAGTAGTCATCACTGTTTTTTAAATACAGCTACCATTTGACCAGCAAGTCCACTTACTGTTTCTGTACTGCCAGAAATACCTGCACAAGTACACAAAGATTTACGTTAAGGATGTTTAAAAGCATCACTATTTGTAATAATGAAAAACTGTTAACAACCTAAATGTCCACTAATAGAGAAATAGTAGATGATTTATGGTACATCCATACTTTGAAGTATCATGCAGCAGTTTTTAAAAAATGAATTTAATTATAACATAAAAAGATTCTCTACATGTATCATTGAGTAAAAAAAGCAGGATGCAGAAAAATACATGCAGAATGATCCTGTTTATGTTTAAAAAACCCCCAAAACTAAAAAAATCACCCAAAGCCCCCCAAAAACTTTGTAAACATACATACATAAATGTAACCGCAGAGAGAAAGATCTAAAATGTCACACACCAAACTGTTGATGGATGGTGGTTACCTTTGGGGAGGGAAGTATGAAAAGGATCTTTCTTCCCCGCTCGGTGTGCTTTTGTATATTTTTAAAACAAAAACATTGAGTGCAAGTGCTATCAGTGTTTAAAAAAAAATGAAAAATAAAGGAAAAGAACATCTAAATTTTCCCACCCCCACCAAACTTTCATTTAAAAAATTAAAAACTAAAAAAATTAATAAAATAAAAAATAATAAAGCGATAATAGAAAAAACTTCCCTTTAATGGAATGCATGAGGTATATTCTTACCTATCTCTTCCTGAATAGAGACAGGTGTATGAGATTCTCTTTCTTCATTTTCAGGATCATCAGCTGCCTTAGCAGATTCACTCTGGGAAGAATTTAGTTCACTGCTGTTACTGTATTCCAGATCAGGCCGCATGGAGGTAGTGGTAGCACTAGTGTTACTGCTCTCACATGTCTTGTTAGGTTCTTTTAGAAAAATAGAATATCTGATTTTTAAATTGGAAATCACATGAAAAATGACGAATTATCAGAAAAGACATTTGTGTTAGAATTTCATTACAAAGCTGTATTTTTAAAAGAAATGCTGTTCATGTATGACTAATGCAATGTATAAAAGAAAGTGGTAAGCAACACCTTATGAGTTATTTTTTAAGTCTTCCAGGCTATTAACTTACTGATTATTTATTTATTTATTTATTTTTTTGTAGAGATGGAGTCTCGCTCTGTCGCCCAGGCTGGAGTGCTGGAGTGCAATGGCGCGATCTTGGCTCACTGCAACCTCCGCCTCCTGAGTTCAAGCAATTCTCCTGCCTCAGCCTCCCAAGTAGCTGAGACTACAGGCACATGCTGCCATGCCCAGCTAATTTCTTTTGTATTTTAGTAAAGACGGGGTTTCACCATGTTGCCCAGGCTGGTCTCGAACTCCCGAGCTCAACTCACTGACATTTTTGTGGGGTGAGGACCCAACCCTAACCCACTGACTCTTACCACCTTAGTCTCCAGCACAAGGCAGACAATCTTTTGGATACCCCAGAGCTGGAGAATAACCAACTGATATGACTATCTCTGAAAACTTACAGTGCACCAGATATTGCAGAGGTGGTTTTGCTGAGATAATATTCAAAATCTGAAGCTTACAGTCTTACTTTTGAAAAGTATTTAAACAGTATTAGAAACAGAATTAAACAGGATTATTTATCTCTATGGTTTTCTGCCTGAATAGTATAACCCCCAAATTAACTAGAAGGTAATGCGTACATGTGACTGTTTTCTCCTCCTCCTCCTCCTCCTTCTCCTTCTTTCTTCTTCTTCTTAAAAACAAAAAACAAACAAACAAAAAAACCAGAGTCTTGCTCTGTCATGCAGGCTAGAGTGCAGTGGTACAATCTTGGCTGACTGCAGCCTCCACCTCCCAGGTTCAATAGATTCTCCCACCTCAGCCTCCTAAGTAGCTGGGACTACAGGTGCGTGCCACCATGCTCAGATAAATTTTTTGTAGATTTTGGTAGAAATGGGGTTTCACCATGTTGGCCAGGCTGGTCTTGAACCCCTGACCTCAGGTGATCCGCCTGCCTTGGCCTCCCAAAGTGGCTGAGATTACAGGTGTGAGCCACTGTGCCCAGTCGTGATTGTTAACTTCTAAGGACAATTCAGTAGTATCACTACGAGTATAGTTCTTAAAAGCATATAAAAATTACCACTACCGGCCAGGCGCGGTGGCTCAAGCCTGTAATCCCAGCACTTTGGGAGGCTGAGACGGGCGGATCACGAGGTCAGGAGATCGAGACCATCCTGGCTAGGTGAAACCCGTCCTCTACCTAAAAGAATAACAAAAAACTAAGCCGGGCAACGGGTGGTGGGCGCCCTGCGAGTCCCAGCTACTCGGGAGGCTGAGGCCACGGAGAATGGGAGGCGGGGCTTGCAGTGAGCTGAGATCCGGCCACTGCACTCCAGCCTGGGCGACAGAGCCAGACTCCGTCTCAAAAAAAAAAAAAAAAGAAGAAGCAGCTCTCTCTGACCTCCTTCCCTCCTGTTTCTGGCCCTTCATTCTGCCCTGAAGCTGAAAACTAGAATCCCTCTTCCCCTAGGTGGTCATAGACACCAGAACCTCCTTCCCCCAAAGCCAGCCACAAAACCTGAAAGTATTACTCTAAAACCACCCCCTGTTGCCACTTCCCTGTAAAAACTGGCCATAAAGAAATTATCTGACCTATCTTGTTTGCCTGTAATTCAAAGACTCCCATTGCAGAGAGGGTCCTGATAACCAGAAGGAGGAAATGCTGCCCTGGGAGGCCAAGAAGAGTCTTACCAGGCCTTGCTGGGGCTCCTACTCAGTCCACTGGCATTAGATTAGACCCTTTTTCTCCAATTATTTTTCCACATGCTGCCCACACTTCATTGAACCTAAGCATAAAAATGGACAGTTTCGTGGCTCATGACTGTAATTCCAGCACTTTGAGAGGCTGAGGTGGGAAGATCACTGGACCCCAGGAACTCCAGACCAATCTGGGTAACATAATGAGACCTCATCTCTATAAAAAAACATAAGCCGGTGTGGTGGCATGCACTGGCAGTCCCAGCAACTTGAAAGGCTGAGGCTGGAGGATTGCTTGAGCCGAGGAGTTGGAGGCTGCAGTGAGCCATGATCACACCACTTCACTGCAGCCTGGCTCTAAAACAATCGACCAATCAATAAAGTACAATTTCCCCTGTATCTTTTGGTCATCGTTCTGATGGCTCCCATGTCACCTAAAACTATGATCAAATAAATTTGTATGCCTTTTTTCCTTTTAATCTGCCTCTTGTCAGTGACTTTCAGAGGGTGATACGGAAGTTTTCACTTAACCCCTACACTACTGCAGACCAGTGCCCTGTGGCAGCAGCATGATTTCCAGGTTAGAGCATGTACATGCCAAGGCAAGACCCTCCAAGTCTCTTTCTTCTGAGCACACAGCACAGTGCACTATTCAAGGCAGTGGCTGCCCCCATCCGTGGGGGCTCCCTGGAGGTGATGATGATGTAAGTCCTCTGCCAACACGCAAGGGACATGGAACATGGTGAGAATCCAGCTCTTTGCTGGTTTAGACCCTGAGAATAGGCTCCTCCTGTCTGTAAATCTCTTACCTGCACACACAGCCTCCCCTCCTCTGTTAGCACTTTCCGGCATGAATCTCACCTTATAAAGCAAAAACCAGCTAGGCGCAGTGGCTCACACCTGTAATCCTAGCACTTTGAGAGGCTGAGGCAGGAGATCTCTTGAGTTCAGGAGTTCAAGACCAGCCTAGGCAACACAGTGAGACTCTGTCTAAAAAAAAAAAAAAAAAAAATTGCCACTACCATGAACAGAAAGCCTGTCTTTCCATGGTAGTTCTGAAATTAAGAGTCTCCCTCTGTGTTTGTTTTTGCCATTAACAAGGTACTCTTCAAATCACCCAAAATAAAAATTGGTTGACAATCTATTGCAGTAACTATCTCTAATGTATAATGTCGGGTTTCAGGAAAAGAACCTGACAACCCGATGGAAATATGTGAGCCGTCACAAAAGAAAAGAAAATGGCCTTTAGGCATATGGAAATATGCCCAATTCAAACTAAGAGAAATGTAAAATAAAACTGTATGAAGAAACTACTCTCAGTTATCAACTGGCAAAAATCCCAGTCTCACAATACACAAAGGGAAAATTACATAGCATTTACTTAACGTAGCAATCCTGTGTAGCCCAAGATACACTAACAAAATACTAAATTATTTATCTATAGAGCTATTCATTGGAGCATTTAAAATGGCAAAAGACCCAGAAATGAAGAAAATGCCCATGAGGCTGAGAGCAGTGGCTTATGCCTGTAATCCTAGCACTTTGGGAGGCTGAGGCAGGCGGAATACTTGAGGTTAGGACTTCAAGACCAGCCTGGGCAACATGGCGAAACTTTGGCTCTACGAAAAATACAAAAATTAGCCAGGCATAGTAGTGCATGTCTCTAGTCTTAGGTACTTGGCGGGCTAAGGCAGGAGGATCACTTGAACCCGAGAGGCAGAGGTTGCAGAGAGCCGTGATTGTGCCACTGTACTCCAGCCTGGTGACAAAGCTGAGATCTTGTCTAAAAAAAAGGGGGTGGGGGGCCGGGTGCAGTGGCTCATGCCTGTAATCCCAGCACTTTGGGAAGCTAAGGTGGATGGATCACCTGAAGTCAGGCATTTGAGACCAGCATGGCTAACATGGTGAATCTTGGCAGTGAGCCAAGATCACGTCATTGCACTCTAGCCTGTGTGAGAGTGAGACTGTGTTTCAAAAAAAAAAAAGAAAAGAAAGAAAAGAAAATGCCCATCAATAGGGCACTAGTTGAACAAAAGATGGTATATACAATTAAATACCATGCATCGTAGCAAGAACTGAGGATAATCACTATGTTCACATATAAAATGATCTCCAAGATTAAATGTTAAAAGCAAGGTGTAGAACAATACTTATAATACGCTCACTTTTGTGTGAGACGGGGAGGAAATACAAATTTATAAACAGTTGTTGCTTTTACTTATAAAAAACAAAACCAGCCAGGCACAGTGGCTCACGCCTGTAATCCCAGCACTTTGGGAGGCCGAGGCAGGTGGATCATGAGATTAGGGGTTCAAGACCAGCCTGGCCAAGACGGTGAAATCCCATCTTTACTAAAAATACAAAAATTAGCTGTGCGTGGTGGCAGGCGCCTGTAATCCCAGCTACTCGGGAGGCTGAGGCAGCAGAATTGCTTGAACACAGGGGGCGGAGATTGCAGTGAGCCAAGACCGCACCACTGCACTCCAGCCTGGGCAGCAGTGTGAGACTCCATCTCAAAAAACAAAACAAAACAAAAACAAGAAACATTGAAGAATAACCAAAAAACAATAAAAACGGCTACTTATAAGGGAAAAGAAAGACATGGTTACCTAGAGAGAGAAGGAATGAAAGTGAAAATTCTCTGAATATCTCCAGTTACATAGTTTTGAATTTATAATAATGTAAATGTTCTTCTATATTTTCAAAAAAATAAAGTTATTATAGAAATGCATCCCTAAAAATTAAAACAGAAACGAACTGCGTATCAAGTTGTGCATAACCACACAAAGGATTATTATTATTATCTTTTTTTGTTTTGTTTTAGACAAGGTCTGGTTCTATCACTCAAGCTGGAGTACAGTGGTGCAATCTCGTTTCACTGCAACTTCCACCTCCTGAGCTCAAGCCATCCTCCCACCTCAGCCTCCTGAGTAGCTGGGACTACAGGGAAGCACCACCATGCTCGGCTAACTTTTACAGAAAAGGGATTTTGCCATGTTGGGCAGGCTGGTCTTGAACTCCTGAGTTCAAGCAACCTGCCCACCTCGGCCTCCCAAAGTGCTGGGATTACAGGCGAGAACCACCACGCCCGGTCCAGAGGATTATTTTAAGTGACTTTAGAATATGATATTTTGTCTGTACATCCTTACTA